TCCTCTTGCACTATTCACGCAGTCCCACCCCACACCCTTGTTTTCGCATAAAACCCACGCTCCTCTTGCAGCCCGCGGTCGTATTCTTCCAGGACAGTCACGTCAGCAAGTAGAGAAGGTGAGGGTGGGCAGACACATCGAACTTTCCCACGATATCAGAGAAATTCAGGAATGAAAAGGACGTTACATACGAGGTTGATGCATTTGTGCATGTCGTACTAAGCAAGGTATAAAAACAGTTGCTTTATGAGGAATTAGTTCGTACCATTGAATATTTGACGCAAGAGACAAGGTGTCGCAGAAACCGATGTTGCTATAACCAAGTTTTACTGTAGTTTAATAAATTATGTTTACTGTCACCAAGTTTTAAAACTATCAGTAATAGAACTTTTTATATTTGTCATCATTTTATTTTATTCTGTTTTTTGGCTTATCTGTCTTTTATATATGTACCACTTGACGTGTTCCATATCCTACCTGTTGTACTGTGGATCTATGGAATGTAAAATAAATGAATGAATGAATGAATGAACTTCAAGAATTTTCAGATTACCACTTCTGTTTTGTGCAGCAGCACACACACTAGCTCAGCCATCAGAATGGTAATGGTTGGCAACATTGGCATGAATCAACCTACCAACAAATGTCTTGTCACCCTCTCTCCACCCACATCTCCATCATGACGTCCCCATGCTGCACATGGCAAAGCAGGCCTGACTTGGGAACTGAATGTTTTTAAATACAATGGTTTGTAAATTTTTTCATGAAGGTCATGATAACAAATGGGATAAGTAGATCTTAAAGTGTGGTCCACACCCCATTAGGGGTCTGAGAGGCCTGACCTGACCAGGGGATTTGCAAGATTATTTCTTCTTCCTGTTATAAGGAGCAAATAATGTACTGAATCTTTTTAATATTTTACAAAATTTGTTTACTTGAAATAATGGTACAATACATTGTATTGTAAATTGGATTTGAAATTATATGCAGGTATCTAGAATAGGTATATAGAGGTGACTGAGCCATTTCTGTCAATAAACAACCAAGGTAAGAAAATATTTTGTAAACACTGTAGAGGCATTAAAAAGTAATTTAAATGTGGTGGGACAAGGAGGTTGTTCAGTGTGCAATGTGTTACTAGAGGGTCCATGGCGAGAGATGAGGGGTCTTTGGGTATGCAGTGTGTTGACAGGAATGAGGGGTCCTTGAGTGTGACCTACGGGAACACCCAGAACAAGGTGACATTATAGGGAGAAGGATGATATATATAAACAGGCATGGGCTGTAGACAAGAGGAAAGGCTGTAGGGAGAAGGAAAAGAGGCTCTGAGAAGTGACTATCTAAGAAGGTGGAGATGTCAGTGGATGGCAATGATGGTGAAGTTCTTGGAACTCTTAGTGCTCACACTTACATGTTCCACATCTACTTACTGTTTCTTTATTGCTAGTGGGGTCGGACTAAGTCCCTTGTACTGCGCCCACTGCTGGCCTCTTGTACCAGCCCCAGAGGATAGGTGAGGGTGACTGTGGAGCAATTGGTGGAATGAAGATTGGCAGGGGAAACCGAAGTACTCGGAGAAAACCTGTCCCAGGGCCACTTCGTCCACCACAAATCCCACTTGACCAGTCCCGGGGTCAAACCCAGGCCGCCACAGTGAGAAGCCAGTGACTAACCGCTTGAGCTATGGTGCAGCCCTCCATATCTACTTACTGTTTTTCTTTATACTTACGAAAGCTGGGCTGGCATGTCATAGTACACATCATGAAACATTTCTTTCCAGTCTGGTTTCAGAACTTTCTCTGCTCTTGTCAATGAATTCACTACCTGCAAGACATTCAAACCAATATATAAAACATGTCTTGCATATAAAAAGAAGACTGAAAAGTTGTACTTAATAATGTATAGGTACAAAGTACAGCTATCCCTGTAACAGGCCATGGAGGCCCATATGGTTGTGAGATGTTGAGGCTCCAACATTTTCTAGACACTTAGCTCACATATGGCTGGCTGCCCTTTACCCCCAGGAAGATTCCTGTTTCTCATTTCTGTCAGAGGCTGAGTCGATCCCAGGTCCATAGTGCAGCTGGAAGGGTTAGGCTAATTGAAAAATCCAATGACCTCTTTGGGATGACCTTCTGTACTACACAAATTCCCAACTCAGCATATAAGGGTTTACCCAGCGCAGGTCAGTGCCCTGTGAATATGCATATTCCAGCTCCAAAAACAGGTGACCTTCAGATTGGCCCCAAAAGACAAAATACTGATTTCCTTGAGAATAACTCTGACTAAATTCCAATAATTTATGGAGACGTCCTAAAAAAAACTGCATACATGGGATTGTGAGGAAAATAATTATATGCATCGTACAGGCCCAACGACAAGATTCAGATTTTGTCAAAACTGGCTTTACCAGTTATCAGTTACAGTTGTTCAGTAAATAGCAACCAACAACAGTTTACCAAAAAACAGTCAAGATAACATAATGAAGGTCCACTGCATATAAGATAACATGTGCAATGTCTCTGAGCCATTTTTTTACTTCATAAAGAATGGATAAAAGCTGTAACAAGAGATAATATATAATAACAAAGTAAGAAAAAAATGCATTGTACCTGTAGAAGTCACATATATCTTCTTGGTGTCAACATTAAGTGAAGAGTGGATAGACAGGTGGGATTTTTCATTTACATGTGGACTGATCGGTTAACTCTTATGATTACTGTCGTCTAGGATATGATGCTATGTAGGGTAGCAAACAGGTTTCTTCAAAGAGTCCATACCTGTCTACCAAACTACACGACATCACATCCATGAAAAGTCACTGTTCAAATCTCAAACAATTCATTTTTACCATTTTCCTTGTTTCTTCCTTCCAGCTCCTTTCCTTTGCATCATCCCACCATCCTTTTAGTGCTAAATATTGTCGCAGTCTGGATATTGGTGAATCCAAGCTGCCCCACTCTTTAACCTCAGCAAGTGACCTGTAGGCGCTGCTGTCATCTGATGTGCTATGATGCCCAAGTCTATGAATGCAAGATCATAGTGAGAAATGTCTGGCTAAGTAACTGCTTCAAGGCTGTGCCATAACTCAGATGGTTAGTCACTAGTTTTCCACTGTGGTGGCCCGGGTTCGATCCCAGGTCAGGTAATGCGGGATTTGTAGTGGGCAAAGCGGCACTGGGGTCACAGCAGCCGAGCGGTCTAAGGAATGTACTGTCTTCACTCGCTTGGAAGCCAGGATCGCGGGTCCCACTCAGGGCATGCATGTTTAGTTTGTGTGTGTGCGTTTTTCTGTGTTTGTGTATAGGTAGAGGCCTTGCAACAAGCTAATCACCTGCCCAAGGAGTCCTACCGAATGTGTAGGATCTAGAAAAACCGTAGTGAATGGAGAAGTTCATGGAGGTAGGCCTAGGCCCACTGGGGCTGTAGTGTCATGAAAAAAAAAAAGTGGCACTGGTACAGGTTTTCTTCGAGTACCTCTGTTTCTCCTGCCAATTCTCATTCCACTGACTGCTTCACAATCATCATCTGGGGCCGGTACAATAGCCCAAATTGTGGCTGATGTACCAAGTGGACTCACTCTTGCCCCAACTCAAGAAATAAAAAAAAATAAATTAAAAAGTCATTGCTTCACATGGAGTAAATATAATGTTACAAGTGCACACAGTAAACACAATGCCATGAAATTGCACCAATTAGAACGATAAGTAACCATTCTGACCAACTATCCTGACAGGTTTTTCGCTGTTTTCCTTAGTCCTTCCAGGAAAATGACAGAAGAGTACCTTAAATAAGGACATAATTACTCCCTTCCATAACCTTTCCAATTAATTATTTACTAATTATCTTACCATTCAGCGCCATACTCTGATACCGACAACAACCTTAAATAAACCATAACAAATCAATGGAGTGTGAAAGGGATACCAGCAGGTATAGTGTAGGAAGTGAGAAGGCAGATGAACTAAGCGTGAAGACACTGTGTTCAGCATTGCTACAGGCCATGTTACTTTAGGCATGATCATGCAACAGACAAGATGCTGTGCAGCACTGAAGATTCATTATATAAAGCATTTAAATAAGGAAAAAGTAAGCTTATTTGTTACAAAATAATCCTATAGGTAAGGGTAAAAAGGTAAACTTGTCCCTGTGTTTAATTAATTAAACACTACGCCATGAAGATGTAGAGGGGGAGGGGATGTATAGATTCACGTTTTCTTGACCTCAGCACTAGTTGGGGGAAATCTTTCAGGTAACAGAAATAAATCTATATATCCAATATAGGACCTGCCCATTTTTCAAATTGATGACTTTCATATGTCCTGATGTGAATCAAGCATACATATTATTCATCATAAAATTGTGGATTGATGAAATATGGCATGTAAATGTTCCTATTTTTATTTCACTGTGTGGAAATCATATACCTGTATGTCATAGCTTCTATGAGGACAGGACGGTTCTCTTTGACTGCATATTCACGTGATGCCTTAGTAACCTGATACACTGCCAAAGTGTCATTTCCATCTACTCGAACAGTAGTAATCCCATAACCTGGACCATGGCCAGCAATTCCATCTCCTCTATATTGCTCGTGGGTTGGTGTAGAGATGGCATAACCATTGTTACGACTGAAACAATATACAAGATCTGTTGACTGAGAGCTGGATTTATATGTTTGAATCTCTCAGTATTAAGGGACTGTTGGATAGAGATGACAACTCAGCATTTAAAACATGCTTGGCCAGGCGGATGTTCCCCTTGTGTCTCCTCCAGAAGAGATGTGAGGGTTATATTCCCACTTCATATGATATTACTCATGCTGAAATGTTGGAAAGTTGATATGGTATGAACTCTACTTCAGATGAGAATAAAACTGTAGTGGAACAAATAAACTGTCTGATTATTCATGACTGCATTAACCTTTAATGGCCGAATGTTACAATTATTGGCAGCAAGTAGCAAGCCGAGCTGGCCGAATGTTGTAATTTTTAGAGGCAAGCCACATGCTTCCTTTGTGAGTGCTGGCAGTTTGACCTTGGGTTTGAAACCCAAACTCATGAACTTTCATGACAGACGTTTATTTGTTAGCTCTGAACAATGAAATCGTTTATCAGGGTACTGGTTTCGAAACTATTTACGTTTAGATATGACTGTTTATTACCTGGTGAGCCATAGAGTTCAGCTTTGTTTTGAGAACTTAGAGGAGGAAATATTCGTGGCGCGCTTACATATCAGTGCTACCAGAGCTTTCAAGGAAGTGTGACGAATTCATGGATTGGTTTGCAGCGTTGAATTGTCAGTTAGGACGTCAGTGGCGGATTTTCTAATATTTCGTTATTAGTAAGAAGTCAGTGTCAGACTCCTTTATTTCTTTGTATATCATTTTTGTGTATCTCAGAAGCGGTATAAACCCACTGAGCCAGTGTTACTTTGTGCGTGAGGACATCTTCGTCACTGTTATTTTCGGTATCAGTGGCGGACTGACACTTTTCGACTGCTATTGCAATTACTTTGTATCACAATTTTGCGAGTGTTCCTAACAGTCTCGCTTTTTCAATCATCATAAAGTATAGGATTTAGCTGGAAGCCCCTTCCCCCAAGATAGAACCTCAAAAACGAGCCAGATACTCAAAATTCCTCGATGCTGAAGAACTGGAGGAAATATTGATGGAAGATGAATCTGATGAAGAGTTGGAAGAACTCGATGCACCTTCCTACACTGGATGGCAACTTCCGAGATGAATCTGGCAATCCTATCAAACCTCATGTAATTGAAGACTACAATGCACACATGGGCTTTGTGGACAAATCTGATAGAATGGTGAACAGCTATGACATTGCTAGGAGGACATGGAAGTGGACAAAGAAATTGTTATTCCACCTTCTAGATATGACTATTCTCAATGCATATCTGTTACACAAGTCGTGTAATGGAAAAATGATGCACAAAAAATTCCGCAAAATTTTGGTGCGTGATTTGATTCTTCAATCACATGAGGCAAATATCACGGTCAGTGGCGTTTCTCGGGGGAGGCCAAGTTCATCTGGGGCCCAACTGAGTCGACTGGAGGTGAAACATTCAAAACACTGGCCAGCTAATGGGAAACAAAGACGTCACGTTTGTTCTATAGAGAAGAAAAGCAGGAGCAGGCTTTTCTACTGTAATGCGTGATGTTGCGCTGTGTCTCGTGGACTGCTTCGAGAGTGGGACACGCGCACGTCAGAGTGTAAACTGTGAAGTGACACAGTCCAAACCGTGTACAGTCCGAACCAAATATTATTGCATATAGTGTCGTCATATTTACATCACCAACACGATTCAAGGTTGAAGAAAAACAACGGGTAAGTCTTTAGAATTTCATAACGTATATAATAAAGATTATATTTTGCAACTCATGACAAAATAATCACAGTACATTTTCATTTGTAAAACCTGCCCTTTTGTGTATATGTTGAAAATTTTATTGTCTTTCAGATTCTTTTTAGTTCATATTCCGATGTTGCATAGAATGGAAAATATGCATTTTCTTCTGAAAGTCGGCAATGTTAAAGACTTAGGGCCATTTAAATTCTGGCCTTAGGGAGCTGCCGGCAATTTAAAAGTCTGGGCGTTAAAGGTTAAAACATATGCACATGTGCATGCATGCGCAAGCAAGTAATAATAAATGTTGTCCAGTCATGACAATTACAATAGGAGAAATCAAAACAAAGCAAGTTAAGTGAGATCTGAAGTTATGAAAGTTGTAAACAGGATGTTTAAGTTTTCTGGGATGTGATGTCATGTGGTTTGGTACATGGTTACCAAAATTTCATATGAACATGACGCAGCATAGTTCAGCAGACAGACATCAATGTTTCTGAAGAATGTGATACCATGTAGTTTGGTAGATAGGTGCTCACATTTTGGAAAACTACGACACTGCACAATTTGTTATATAGCTACCAACATTTTGGAGGAACTTACTGTTATACCACAAAGACAGAGGCAGCAGTTTCTCCTTAAACACAGGCAATCACTGGCTAACTGAATGGTGTCACATCCCAGAAGACCATAATATTCAATGCAAAATATATTATGTGTGTTTAAGGGTGTTATTTCATATGCGACAGCTGTTAATAACAGTCTAAATTCAGAAACTAACCAAAAGAATATCACTGGACAGTTCAAAGTGGCTGCAAAGTTGAAAGCAGCGTGAGCATCACCTTCACTAGCTGCTCCTTCTCCGAAATAAGCGATCACACAGCGACCATTGTTTGCAAGTTTGTAAGCATATGCAGAACCAACAGCTGAAAATAACGTTCAAATTATTATAACATATAACACTGAAATTACAGTCATACAGCTAACCTGTGAGGTAATGCTAAACTGTGTGAGATCTGATGTTCTTATGGCAGTGTATATGTTGACTACTGTCTTCTCAGATGTGAAAATATGTAGCTGAAAGGCACCAAAGTTTATGTGTAATGTACTTCTTTCATCTTTAGGATAGAAAAATGAGCTGCACAGGAATAAGATACAGGATAAAGAAAATAAAATGGTTAACTTTCCAGCCAGTGAAGCAATGTAGCCATATTTAGCAGAGCTACCCTTAAGCAGGACTCTGTAGACTGGTATACATGGTGCTCAATATTCCTGCTGAAACCACACATATCTTGTGCTTCCTCAGAAAATTCTTTTTCATCTTTTCCATCCTCAAAACACTGTCCACCTTCAACGTGTCCATCTCTTGCTTTACATGTACATTCTAATATCTCTGCAATGCCTGAAAACACTGTTGGAAATCACCTTCTGAAAGACATTTCATTATTATTATAATCATATTTACATTTATATTTATTATTCCATTCATGGATCCAATCATCTCCCCGTAGGGCTGGATATAAAATGTCACACATTACAAATTCATGACAACTGCACATCATATGTCCTTGGTCCAATAAAATATATAATCAGGCCTCACTCAGACAGCACAGGTTGTCAAGACAACACACACAGGCCATGGAAAAACCACTGTCAAATTCACACCTTGCTTTGAATGTCTTCAATAAATTCAAAATGAAACCTTTCCAAAGTCATATTTACTTTAAAGAACCTGGTAAAGCAATAACAGGCCAGACCAAGTGAATATGATGGATATATGGTACATATATTGCCAAAAGTAATTCTGTGGGGTTTTAATGATGCTGTCAGTAACTCAGATTCTAATCATGAATGATAGCATGGTTACTAAGTAATGAATTGGAATATATGTGGAAGGAAGCAGCCATGACCTTATTAGTGGTATTAACCTGGTATATGCCTGGAGTGGCTGAGTAAAAACAAAGGAAACAAGACTTAAGATAGTCAATGTGCAAGCTGAGTTCTGAGAGCAGCATATCCCAAATCTAAGTTGAAGCATTCTCTCTTGAGCAATCTTCTCTTACTAAGAGTGCTGTCTCAGAAGCAAAATCCTCATATCCAGTTAAACACTTAGTCTGTTTTGATGAGTGTGCTGTTGTTAAAGCTCCAATCTACGTTACAATATGAAGGAAGAACGTTTGGTTGAATGTTTCAGAACAAATCCATAAGATGCAATTCCTTTGACATCAAAATAGCAGATAAGCATGCTTTAGGTTTTCTGATTATCAACACACATTGTCAGACATGCTGGACACTTATTTCTAATAAACTGAACATCTCTTTCACAGTACCTTGAGGCAATTGTGTAGTAAGAGGTGAAGAAATTGTGACAAAATGATGATTCTTTGATCCATAATGAACAGGCATTTGCCGGCCTTTTCCTTCATCCTCACAATTTCCAAAACACTGACTTACAAACTGATCCACTGAAAAGCCTCTCCACAGCAGCACCCCTACAGAAAACAAAGTAGTCTATATTCACAGACAAAATAGCACTGTATAGCAGAGTAAGTCCATAAAAGTATATGTTTCTATTGTTATTTCATAGTCAATTCTAATAGTATTAATTATTATGTATTCACTGGAATCAACTATCTGATTCAATATATTTTATTTCATTTTATTCTCTTCAGTTACTTTGTTTTATTTATTCTGTATATTATGTACTATTTTGATGTGTTCTATATCTTACACGTACTGTTGATCTATGGAACGTTAAATAAATTGAAACTGAAATTGAAATGAAGTTTCTTCAGTGTCTACAAACAATGCCACAAAAATGTTTCCTACCAACAAATGCTTTCAATGTTCATCTTGGTTTAAATTTAAATACTGTCATGTGTTAGTGAGCAGACACAGGGTTTGGATTGATAACTGATTTATTGGACTCTTTCAACTCATGACTACAAATACTTGTAACACTTTCACTGACCTACACAATCTACAAATCACTACTGCAAACACTAAGCCTTCTATGTCTTCACTAGTTGTTGCTTGGTAACGGCATCTAACAACACAAGACTGTGGACTGGTAGCTGCCAACTCTGCCTTCCAAACCGCGAATGATGACTTCTGACTCATGACTGACTATAACGGTTTCTCCTTGCTCTTGCATGTTTATCATTGCTGTGGGCACTTGCTTACCACAATATTGCCCAGCAATAGCAGTGTCTTCAATTCACTATTCTGGCTTTCGGTTGTCACGTCACAATATGAACCTGCACTACTACTGCACTGTCACTTTGCATAGTTATTTAATATTTATCTACTGCAAATAAAAATATTAAGTCCCCCAGCATACTGTGGCTGGTGGATAGGTTTTAGCTTGGGAATGTTGGTATTAGATAGCTGGGTCCTGCATGTGCAATTTATGACCAGTAGATATCAAGTTAGTACCAAAGGAAAACAATGACTTTTACAAACTCTTTACCTGTTTCTCGATACTGAGCATAAACCAAATCATTATAAGCAAGAGCTGCTGCACTTCCAATTAATGTAGCCTCTTCCCCAAATGTTGTCATGTAGAATGAGATGCGACCCTGACGCTGAGACTCATACAAAACTGTGTCCATTGTGTTCAAAAGAATCATGGTTCGGTACATCCTTTCCACAAACTCTGACTCCAACTTAATGAAAATAAAAAAAATCAATTATTCGTTTTACTACAATGTCATAATGACTTCACAACAAATGTAGAATCTATTGTTTTGAAAACTGAACTAAAGCAAACAAGAAAGTCTAAAGGGTCTAATCTCCTAAATTACAGTGGAATCTCGCTTAACAAGCACCTCTCATAACGAGTAATTTGCATAACGAACAAAACAAATTGTAAAAAAATGACTCGCTTAACGAGCGACGTTTCGCATAACGAGTGACGAGAAGGGAAGTCCCCAATTGTGCACTTGCTACATCAGTCTGTATTTAGCACTCATTCTGCTAGCATCTTAGTGTCGCTTGTGATTGCACATTTTTCCAAACTTGTGTTCAGACATATTATTTGTGATTTTTTTTGTGCAAAGTTTAACCCTTGCAAAAATGTCCCCGAAGAAAAAGACAGCCATAAGAGAATAAAAATAAACGTAGAAATGAAACGTAAAATCATTAAAAAGTGAAAATGAGGTGCGAGCGTGGCTGATCTAGCACGCACATACAATCGGTCGACATCAATGATTTGCACTATCCTCAAGAACAAGGACAAGATTAAGGAGATAGATGCTTCAAAGGGAGTGACAAGAATATCTACGCAACGGTTACGTATTCTCGACGATGTTGAAAGGTTGCTCCTCATATGGATAAACGAAAAGCCATTGCAAGGCGACGCTATTAACAAGAACATCATTTGTGAGAAGGCGAAAGTGATTTTCGCTGACCTCGTTAAGAAGACGCCAGGATCATCATCGGCTGAAGAAGAAGCATTTAAGGGAAGCCGTGGGTGGTTCGAGAAGTTTAAAAGAAGAACCGGCATCCACAGCGTTGTAAGGCACAGTGAAGCAGCAAGCTCTGACACAAAAGCAGCAGAGAACTTCATCGGCAACTTCAAGAAGCTCGTAGATTCTGAGGGTTACCTGCCGCAATAGGCTTTTAATTGTGACGAGACAGGTCTCTTCTGGAAAAAGATGCCGAGGCGAACCTATATAACAGCAGAGGATAATGCATTGCCCGGCCATAAGCCAATGAAAGACTGTCTCATGCTGCTATTTTGTGCCAATGCAAGTGGCGATTTGAAAATTAAACCATTGCTTGTTTACCATTCAGAAACTCCACAAGCCTTCAAGAAGTGTAAAGTCCAGAAGAGCAGGCTAAATGTGATGTGGAGGTCCAACAACAAAGCTTGGGTGACATGTGACCTTTTTACTGATTGGATCAATGAAGTGTTTGGTCCTTCTATGAAAAAATATTTGCTTGAGATGAATTTGCCACTCCATGTCTTGCTTGTTACGGACAACGCTCCTGCCCATCCTCCAGACCTACAAGATGACCTCATTGAAGAATTTAAGGTCATCAAGATCCAGTTTCTGCCTCCCAACACCACTCCGTTACTCCAGCCTATGGACCAGCAGGTTATTTCTAAATTTAAGAAGCTGTAAACTAAAGCACTCTTCAAGCGTTGTTTTGAGGTGACTGAAGGGACCAATCTCACTCTCAGAGAGTTTTGGAAATATCACTTCCACATCGTTACCTGCCCCAAGATGAACAAAAAGGCGTGGGAAAGGGTTGCCAAGAGAACCCTCACTTCCGGTTGGAAGAAGCTTTGGCCGGAGAGCGTTGTCGAATGTAACTTTGAGGGCTTTGAGATAGTACCTGTGGAGCCTGTAGTCAACGAGATCGTATCTTTGGTCAAGCTCATGGGGCTGGAGGTGGATAACAACGATATCAATGAGCTTGTGGAAGAGCACAGCCAAGAGCTGACCACTGAAGAGTTTATGGAGTTGCATTGTGTTTCACAGCAAGAAGTTTTGGAGGAGAGTTTGTTGGAGGAAGAGGAGCAGGAGGAGGAGGAGGAGGTGGTAACAGCAAAGCAACAATCTTCTGGCGCAATAAGAGAAATGCTGAAAGCATGGGAAACTGTTGCATCATACATTGAGAAACATCACCCTAATAAGGCAGTGGCTATGCACGCTACAAATTTATTTAATGATAATGCTGTGTCACATTTTCACCAAATTTTGAAGTGTCAGCAAAAACAAATATCTCTAGATAGCTTTCTAGTAAAAAAGAATTAGATATGTATCATAAATAATAAGCTAATTATTTTGATTTTTTTTTTCTGCAAATCGAATTTGCATTCCAGGTTGGTTCATTCCGCATAGAGGAAAATATGAAGATGATTCACGCTCCTTAACAATGTATATATAATTTTCTTTGAATAAACGTTATACAAAAAAATTTCTGAGTATTTTTTCGGCATGGAACGCATTATCGTATTTTACGTTAATTTATATGGGAAAAATTGTTTTGCTTAACGAGTGTTTCGCATTACAAGTAAGATTCTGGAATGAATTATGCTCGTTAAGCGAGGTTCCATTGTACCATCTTTCAATATGATAAATGAATCATTTATTTATAAAACAGCTGTATACAAAGATACTGTGAAGGATCAAACTGAAACTAAACATATGCCATGCATTTTATTTACTTATGGCTCCCTTAATAATGGTATTAGTAGTTCTGGTTTGCACAGCACAGAATGGAGGAATGATTAATGAATAGTAAATTGGAAAAAAAAGTGGCCAGAATGGGCTGTGACCTAAGTTGAGGTACTATCCTTTTATTTAACCAAAGGGACTGAGAAATACCATGAAAAACCTGTCAGCATAGTTTTCAAGTTGGTATTTGAAGTTGGGGCCTCTCACACACAAAAGAGGAATGATATTCCCTTGATCACAACATCTGATTATCTTAAGCAATCACTTACACATATTGTTCTGGTGTTAGAAGTAACTCTTGTGTGTAAGTCAGCTGGGTTGTTTAATATCATTTTTTAACAACATAAATCTTAATACAAACATCCACTTTAACATTATTCTCTCATCTACAGTTAGGTCTTCCTAGTGGGCTCTTTTCTTCAGACGTTCCTGCCCAAACTATGTATGAGCTTCTCTTTTCTCCCATGTGTATTACACACTGTAACCTGTCCAACCAATCACACTAGATCCAGCAGGTGAGCACTGGGGTTCCTCAAGGTCATTTTACAGCCAGTGACCAGGTTCACATACTTTTAGAAATTCTATAAAACGCCTTCCTGATATTCCAGTATGAATTTATTTACTTACAATTTACACTGTCAATGTTACCAGGCTGACCATGCAGAAAGATCAAACCTCTAAGGTTGAAAGTTCTGTGCAACAATTTGAATAATGAATTTAGATACTGGATACTGGACAACATGGTTCAGGTCTTGTGTAAGTGCCTGCTTGTTGGCAGTACTTCTTGAATTTGAGAGAACGCTCATGAAGGTCACTTTCTCTAATTAACGATACTATCCTGATAGAACAGTGTAGGGGCAGCAACCCTGGACTTCTAGAGGGTGTCAGGCTGTCACTCCCTTGGCCCTTCAACACGCATCAAACTGTGGTTTATTGCCAGTGCATGTCATCTCAGGTCGACAATGTACACATTTAAGAAAATCATCTTTTCTTGTTACATGACAGCTGATTTCACCAGGAAAAGATGTGGTAATGTTCATAAAATATATCTATTTATTAAAATGATAACAGGTTGAAAGGTGAGCGGTTCATATCTAATTCTCTTCAGTTTGATCATTCTAATATTTTGTGAAGAGCATAAATTTTTAAGCTTTTCACTAAGCAGTTTTCTCCAGCCTCATTAAGTCCCAATGTCAGTGCTGCACATATGAATATTAACATAGATCACTAAACTGGACGTGTCTGTAAAGGAAACTGTATGGAAGTTCTCTCAAACCTGAGGCTCCTCTGAAGGATTGAGGATGCAGCCATTCCTGTCCATAACTCTGTACACAGGAAACTTATTGTATGAATGAGGATGAATTAATTCAAGGCTTTCTGCCCACTGGGACTGAACCCCAGGAAATATTGGTGTATCTGCATCAGGTTTTGGATTTACTGAAGTTGAACCACCACTGCACATCTTCTGAAACAAAGAAAATATCTCCAAAATATTCAAAATATTTATACATTAAAATAGGTGAAGAAAATTTGGTCAAGGAAGATTAATATCTTCTGTGTTGTCCAGTTGAGCATTAGCAATGTTTCACAAGAACTTGCTGCATCCAACTGGAGGGGTTAATGATCTATGAGACTACACACCATCATATCCCACAAGAGAGTAATCTTCTGAACATTTAAAATCCTACAGGTAAAGAAATCTACAACTTGTATCAATATCGAGCAGTATGGAATAAACAGATCAATTAGAGTCCACATCAGTTTTCTTGAGCCTTACATGTCCTTCTTGCTGAATAAAGCATCTTGGTATACTACAGCAGGTATCCATCTAACAGGAAACACTGACCTGATCTCCTCTACCCAATAATGTTACACGAGTTACTATAAGTTTCTTTCTTTGCACAGCAGAGCAGTGTGACACACAAGCACATCATCCTGAGAGCTAACACTCCTCACCTGGTAACCACCCTCCTGAGTAACAGCTCAATTTACCTAGTGATTACATTAATTTCCCATAAGTAGGTTCAATCCATTATTTGCTAGTTATCTCAAACCTCCATTTATTTCAATTGACACTGTGGCTTTAGCTAGAACGGTTAATTACTTCATGTTACTGTATCATCTGTGAAGTTTTGTAGGACTGAATGAAATGTGTTAAAAATGTAAATGAAGCTTTAACCAGGTACTCAGAATTCAAATTAGAAGTGTTACTATTGGATCAACCTACTTGTTAATGTCTTATATACCTAAATTCACACATTCGCCTGCTATACGAGTATCCAACCCCCTCGCCCCCATTTTCTTTGTTGAGAGGGATTGGTAACAGTTCATCTGCATTGCAATTGTCAGATTTTACTTCTTTGGTAAGAAAATACTGGCAACCGGAATTGAAATTTTAATCAAACTGCAAGCGCGAATAGGAAAGTATTACCAACAATTTCCCTTTCATCGCCGAGTAATCACACAAATTCTTGGTCAATATTTTGCAAATACAGTGGTGGAAATGGAAGAGACAGTTCTAGTTTGATGTTGCAATTATTCTCTGCACATGCTATTCGGCAGAGTTTTCATGCCCATACAGTTCGTACCATACTCGTGCCAATAAATTTGGCATAACGCGAGCGTTTGACATACCATTGACTGTATCAGACTAGTACACACGCGAACATTATTAAATAAGTGTTTTGTACATCTCTGTAGTGCCATTTTGATGCGAGTACCAAGAATTTTCCAAAATAAATCGCACGTATTACACGACACTACTAACAGTACACTATCGCTAATTCGATCGTGTGTTCTACGAACTATCGAATAAACACGCATTTTAAAGATAAATCGAATGAATGAATGTCTCTAGTCATGTGCGTCATGGGCTCCACAAGTTTACGACCATATATTAGGCCGAGCCGTGAAATTTGCTTACATACTTATTCTTAAGTCGCTTTACTCATTGCCTTAGAGCAGTCAGGACTGAAGAACTTTGTTTAAAAGAGGCTTTTAATTGTTATTAACCTTTGGGATATTTCTTTCTTCTCTTCGTACTTGCCATAATATCCGTGGGAGACCTTACGTGTGGTATACCCCCCCACGCGCCAAACTCATCTCACCCCGACTATTGAGAAACCTGACGGAATCACTGTTTCCTTATTATTCNGCTCTACAGCCCTTTCGACCTTTGGCCTCCTCTTCAGTTTCTTAATCCGATACACAGTCAGTAGGACTCCTTGGGCAGGGGATCAGCCTGTCGCAAGGCCGCTACCTACACACACAACAATACAATCACAGCATAAATGCACACATATACATGCCCAGAGTGGGATTCGAACCCACGATCCCAGTGTTCGAGCAGACGAAGACGATTCATGCCTTAGACCTCGCGGACACTGTGATTGGCTTGTTGATTGCTTACATAAAATAATTCCATAACAGAAAGATTCCTAAAATATGGCAAATTGAAAACAACAAGCACGGCCTTTCATCTTCCTCTTTTTGCAGCCTTTCCGCCACAGCTGGTTCAGTTTCAGATACAATTCGATTGATGTGGCTTACAGGTAATTAATTACCTCTGAGCCTAACTTAACTATTCCTAACTGCCTGTACTGTGTGCATTATAATGACTAATGCACAACGGTTTTACCCATTCCCCTGCTCTAGAGACAGCAGATCCTTCCAAAATGTTGATACTTACATGCCAGACTACACGGTGTCATACTCCAGCACACCATCATGAGGACCAAATTATCATTTGATAATTTTTATTCGATTATGCCCATCACCAGACTTCACGAGGTGTGGGACATTCTTGCAACGGGAAGAATATCTGTTGTGAGAACACTGTCTTTTGCTGAGCCCAAGCGTATAGTGTACAGGTTGCGGTCTTCTGTGATGTGACTGAGATCGGTAGATGAGCATGAACATTTCGATGGAAACTGCTGCCACCATCTTCAGGGCGTCACCTTCAAAGAGATCGTAATCTTCTTAACGTCATGAACTTCAAGTCACATACTGTGTTTGATTTTTATCATGTAATAATAAGAAAATCAGAGATATGCTAGATTAAGGTATTCATTATAAATATTTGCTGTCATTCAATTACCATTTGTCGCTTATGAAATCAAGCAATAAATATTTGAATGTATGGTATTACTGGGAAAGATCATGCACTTTATGAATCTTATTTAAGTAACAGATATAGTAGAACAGTAATACATAAAAGTGATTTGAATACAGTATCCTCAGACTGGCATAGTGTTAGAAAGGGAGTGCCACAAGGGTCTGTATTAGGACCTTTTTGTTTCTCTTATATATAAATGACTTGTCTAAAATATTAAATAAATTTTCTACACCTATAATTTTTGCTCATGATACTAGCATCTTATTTTCAAATTCTAATATAAATGTTCTTAGCAGGAAAATTCTTATAACAATTGAAATCTTAAATGGATGGTTTAGAGCTAATAAATTATCTTTAAATTTTAATAAGACACTTTCTATTCAATTTAAAACTAAGACAATAATGTCAGATACTTTTACAATAAATCATAATAATAAGTTTATCAACAGTACGTTCAGTACTGATTCTTGGGAGTTAGAGTTGATAGTGTCTTAATATGGAAGAATCACATTGATTTACTCATAAAAAAATTAGGTAAGGCTTGTTATGTAATTAGAAATATGAAATATTATATGTCTATTTCAGCTCTAAAGGTAAGCTATTATTCCTTTTTTCACTCCTTAATGAGCTATGGTATCATCTTTTGGGGAAACTCATCTCACAGTTCTACTATTTTTCAACTGCAAAAAAAGGCTATCAGAGCGATGTTGGGATATGGCAATAGAGTTCCGTGTAGAAACATATTTAAAGATTTAAATATTTTTTCATTTGCATCACAATATATATTTTCGTTGTTAGTATTTGTATTGCAGAATAAAATTCTTTTTCCATCAAACATTGATTCTCATACTATTGAGACTAGACAAAGACAAGATTTGTATTTACCTCAAGCTAATTTAACTATTTATCAAAAAGGAGTTTATTGTGCAGGTATAAAAATATTCAATAAATTGCCCATAGAGATCAAGAACACATCCAATAATTTTAAAAAGTTTAAGGTTAATTAAGGCATTTCTTGAATACTCATACATTTTATACTTTGGATGAATATCTAAACAGATAATTTGTATTATTGTTGTATTCATTGTACTGTCTACTTGTGTAATATTTATGTATGTTTTCTATGCTCTATAGTATTTTATGACACCCATCTTTGGATCTCTTGAATAAATACAAATACAATACAATAAAATACAATGTTTCATTCTATAACAAATGTAAGATTTTCAAGGCAATGAGTGTTCATGTTAAGAATTCCGGGTTGCGACACCTTGTAGCCTTGCAGGTGGATACTAGTTCTTAAAGAAAAGTAGTTACTTCCATCTCCAGGGTCAAAGGTAGCCAAAGTTAAAGGCAGAAATTCATGTGAAACATTGCTGCACAGCTAAGAGACTACATAGTGTCACAAACCAGAATATTTCTTTTCGTAGCAAACCATGCTTAGCACCAACCATTGTGTGAGCCTCAGATTCAACAGCACATGTGCTAAGGATTGGTAGAACATATACTGCCATAGCTGTACGGGATAATTAAGTCAGTATGAAGACAATGTAAGGGCTGGACAGCTGAGGTTCAATTCCCTGCTGAACAAGAAACTTTTTTCTTCTCCACAGTATCCAGATCATCCCTGGGGCCCAACCAGCATCATATGTAAGGGGTACTGGGATTTCTCTCCCGGGAGTAAAGAAAAAGGAGCATGAACCTAGTCCCAAGGTCAAGAATAGTGAAGCTGAAACTCAACACCCCATGCTTCTTCATGGCATGATGGTTAAGTAATTAAGCATAGGGGCAACTTTATCTTTCATACTGCCATAGTGGCAGATGGGAACTGATATCACAGAGCTGTAAGTAATTCNGATTAATTTGATTGATCGAATCCTATACCGATAGTTAACAACAGTTGTCAATTGACTTACACAATCCATTACATATTTGATAACAAAATGTAACTATCAATTGAGTCATCGATTAATTTAAGCGATGGCACTTCTGTATCTATTCCAATATTTGATAGTTCTAATTACAACTTGATATACAACAGTAAATTGTATCTATCGAATAAAGCAATGAATTTTTGTGTTATATGATTTCATAAGCGACAAACAGCGTTTGAATGACGGCAGGCAGTAACTACTGAATACACTATGTTTATATTTCATTAGATTCTTCATTTCTTGGCTGCGAAGTTGCTCTAAACTTCGTTTAAAGGCGAACAGCCATAATAGTGTTACAGTCAGCAACAGTGGATATTGTTACAGCAATCTGAAAGTCTATGCTAAATGGATGACATATTCCATTCAAAATCTTCATATTGACAAAGCAATCAACATTGATATAGCATTTTCTCTGTTTTTACGTCGTGTGATGCGGTAGATAGGCTCCAACGAAATGTTTACATGGCATCTCGTTCGAGAAGATGGTAATATTAATGTACAACCATGTGAGAACTTCAAATTTCTTATTGGGAATTAGCATGTTAATATCCATTGTTTATTATATTTCAACATGGAAGTCAATATAGATTCACTATTAAATAAATGTTGATCACCCTCACAATTTATGGTGCAATGGTTTCAAAATGAACATAGTTTACTGGTACAACTACTTTACAGACAAATAATGAAAAAGAAACAAATGCCCCGCCACTGTGTTCCGCGGCGTGACGTGAAACGAGTCATATGTGACGTCACCCTGCGTTAATTTATGCAGCGCATAGCAACAGTCATTTGTTCGCGCAAAGACTCCCGGGAACTGTGGGACGCCATCTAAAGTTATCATCAGAGAGCAAAAATTGTGACATTATGGCGGAATTTTCAGCGGCATTCAAGGACATTGCTTGTTTACAGATGTAAAAAGGTGTAAATCTAACTTACAGCTTCATATAACTTTCTTCCAAATATATAATAATTGAAAGTGAACGAACAAGCTGTGGTGGAGTCAAAGCTCGGTAGTGAATTTCCGTTCAACGGCAGGGGTGGGAAGAGGATTTGGGACGGGATCCAGCCGATTTCCTTGGCGTAAACAAACCACAAACGTATGTTACACATTATCGAATATTTTCACATTCCACATACTGTTTCGTGTGGTTGATTTTTTTTCTACAGGAAATGTCCTTTATAGTAATGGTAATAACTCCGATGCGTAATGTTGACAAATAGTTGTAAGCCTAGTATGGCTGGAGACATGCTGGAGTACCAACTTTTGAATGATCCATTCAGTAATTATTTTACGAGTGGGTTTGGCCAAACGAAGTATTTTGATTGTTCGTAATAGCATATTACAGGTTTTCATAAGATACATGGTTTTGTGAAATAATTATTGTTTAATGTCAAAACTTAAAAAGGTTACCTGTTGAGGTCAATTGTATTTTCGTTCATATAAACTTTACTAAATACTGTTACATTTTCTGTTTTAGGGTTGAGTAAGGTTTTCCTCATACTGAAGGTACATATAAGTGGCAGGCAGCTTTAAAAATTGCTGTAATGAGTGCCCCTGCGGTTAAACCGGCTCTTCCCACAGCTGGAGCCCAGGCCCCAAAGGTTGGATCTGGTGCTCCTCCTACCACAACAAATAATCCTCCTCCTCCTGCAGGAGGACCCAAAGTTTTACCTACGACTGGCAGCCCAAATAGACCAATTGCACTGCCAAGTGCTAATCATGCTGCAGTTGGACCTGTGCCACTTAGCTTAGTACAGGAACACAAAACAGGTAGCGGCCTTAATCAGCAGCCACCACCAGTTCCCCGAACACCAGAGAAAACTAAGGAACATCCACTGACACTGGGAGTTAAACCCACATCAAATGGTGTTGAAGGATCTCCTAATAGACCAACTGCAACCTCCCAACCTTCAGTGGACACCAAAAAATTGGATGAAGGAGCTGCTGCAGCACCTGTGTTGAATCATTCTACTGATATTATACCAGTGACTGCCACACCTCCACAGACACAGGTATTAGCAACGGGACAACCAGCCCAGCATAATCCACTTGTAACTGGTGAGTACGCATATTGTTTGTGATGTGTATGTATTAAGCTAAGAATATAGATTGGTGATATGTGAGAACAGGATGCTTTGGAGCTAAGAGTGGGGTTGTAACAGTATAATGGAGGAAATTACATGAGGAGTTTCATCTATGCTTTTCTTGATATTATTAGGGTGGCAAATTGAGGAAATGGCTGGTTCATGCAGCAAGTGCGTGATGGCTCAGCTCAAAGAAGCGTGAACGGAAGAGACCAGTTGGGAAACCTAAGCATAAATAGGAGAATAATATTGAAATTGACAGTTAGTAACTGTTAGCTTCCTAAGGAGGACTCTTTGCCAGCAATCATTAATGCTTTGTTTGGCAGATTTTATGATGGAATCGGTGCATAACGATTTAGGTGGCTGTATGCCTTTTCTTTGCTGATCACAGTGGCTGTGTGGTCTAAGATGTGAACTGTCTTCACTTGCTTGAACACTGGGATCATGGTTTCAGACCCCACTGAAGGCATGGATGTCTGTCTGCATTTATTCTGTGTTTGTTTTGTTCTGGGTGTATGTAGTGGCCTTGTGATGGGCTGATCCCCTGTCCAAGGAGTCCTACCGACTGTGTATCCGATTAAGAAACTGAAATGGAAAAAAAAAAAAGCATTTCATGGATGCCCTCTGCTCCAAAGTTGGAGCAACAGGAAAGAAAGAGATAAATGATTTTTTATTTATTTAATGATGCTCTTAGTAACTCAGATTGAATGTGTGAATGGTAAGCGAATTATGAATTGGAAGGGAAGTGGAAGGACCAGGCAGGTTGGTTGAAGTGAAAACACTTGTGTAACTTGTATTTTGGAGGTGCCCAGTTTGAATCTTGGCCTGGGTTCTGCCCAGGAATGGTATAAGGAACCAGGATACATGGACTGCATGTTATCAATCAGGCTGTCTATGAACAAAATAAAATGAAATATTATTCCATGTATTGCCTGCAGATTTGAACTAGCCGCAATGTAGGTGGATGCATTTGTTAATGTGTATAGTAAGCCCTGATGTTGTGACTACAGGTGCACAAGCAAGCCAAACCAAATCACAGCCTGCTGTAGTATTGACAGCTGCAACAAATCATTCGACCCTCAATGATATGAACAAGCTGGAGGGGACAGGAGTTGAAGGGAAGCCATCAGTACCAACAGGACCAGCTCAGTCTGCAGAACCTCCCCCTCTGACAGCACCTCCTGGGTCCACAGCTGTACCTCCTGCACCATCTTCCACTCAGCATCAGCAAGTACAACAGTCTCAGCTTCTACAGCCAGCTCCTCCACAACCACAGCAGACTCAGCAAGTGCTACCTCAACAACAGCAGCAGCAACAGTCACCACCACAACAACAACCGCAGCCCCCAGCACCACCACAGCAGCAAATACCGTTGTTACCAGTGCAGCAGGAGCATAAACCAGCCTCAGTTTTAGCAGATGCCGCTAAATCCAGGACAGAGGCCCCTAAACCTGAGTTCAAGGTGGCTACTCCACCAAGAAATAGCAAGAGGAAAAGAGAAATGAAGGTAGCAGCAGAATTATTTTGTCTCAGTTGCATTTACTGAATGTGGCCCAAGTAAATTTAAAATTTACCGGCATATTAGCACGTGTAGGCAGTCTGGATTTTGCCTCTGACATGAAGACCATGACTATTGCACTGACATAAGCATTATGTCGTGCTGCTAATCCCATTACAAGTGATGAATTTGTGGAATTTGCTAGGAATTGAAGAGGTGGCAATCAGTTGGAAATTAATTGACCTTAGAATAGTTTTTCCCCAGCCATTTATTTTACATGTGGTTGGACTCTGTAGCCAGCTTCCCTACTACATGTAGGCTAAGATGGTGGTAAATTTTAAAGTTTCTGCGTTGCCTGATTAAACACAAGTACTGTTCCTATCCTTAACTGTAGTGATGTGAATTGAATATTCGTTTCAAAGACAAATGTCCGGTAAACATTCTTTTGGAACATGTAAACACCCCAGAATATTCTTTGTTCTTTATAAACATTCAGAACGTAAACTTTGGTGATAGTTATTTTCAAAATCTGACTGCTTAGTTTTGTTTAAAACCACACTCTTTTTGCAATGTATGGTATGCCAGATTATATATATATTTTTTAATTTTAGTTTATTTGTTTTAACATATAAGACTTCACATCTGGAACTGTACCAGATATAATGAAGTCTGGTTATGGTTTTAAATTTAAAGTGATTGTTGACTCTAGATTTGTTTTTATTTTGACCACATAAATGTACGTATTCATCCACTAAAGGTTATGTGACATACACAGTGTCACCATACTTTACATTAGTGACCCTAAAAGAAAGAATTTTTTCAATAATGAATTTGGAAGTTAAAATTAAAGTAGAGGGTTTCAGGTCAAATTTTATTACAAGAATACTGCACATTTCCTATAAGTGAAGATATTGATATGTTGGAAATTTATTCTGGAATAAAACAGTCCAGAATTATATAAAATAGTCTCTCCTTTTCTGTATTTGTAGATTTTGCTCAGTTCATGTTTTGGGATAAGAATTTTTAGCCTCAGTTTTGTAAGAAAGAAATGTTACTTCAAACTAATGGTGGTCTAGGTCTGTAATTCAGTGTGTTTATATATTTATTCAGGAACATTGAACAAGAAACAAATCTGCAACCAACATAAACTAAATAAGAGCTGACTTATAGCTCGTGGTGTTTACCCTGGTTTTCTCACAAAAATGAGAAAACTTCAGACATCACAGTCTCGACAGCAAAAAGAGCCAGTTCATAATAATTATATCTTGCAGTAGTGTTTGCCCAGTGTTTTAATTGTTTTCTGTTTGTGTATCTGCACCTTACTTCCATTGACACAGTCTGGGGTTATGTGAGCTTATTTTATGTTTCATCCAAGATGAAGTTGGGCACCCATGACTCACCACGTTAAAGACCTTTAATGATTTTCATTAAAGTGTAACTTTAACTTTTTAAGAATCTTTCATGTAGTGTTTGAGGGTTTTCCATTGTTTTCGCAAATCTCAGAGTTGCTGTTTGCAGAGCTAATGACTTGTCCTAAACTTGGGGTTGATGAAGCATTCAACACCACCTCTTATGAGGGGAACCCAATTTCCAAAACATTTTTCATCACCTCTTTTCATTGACCATGTATTTGCTGAAATGTTTCTCATCAGCTGTTTTCATTAACCATGTGGACACACCATATTGGTTAGTATCCCACTCTGTTCATCCAGTCATGGCTTCACCTTTGACACAATGCCTAATGTGAGATCTGTATAAGAACTGCCAAATGCAGACTCCCGAGATGGCAACTGCACAGTTTGCCGAAATGTTGGAGTGCCTTTAGCATTGTCCATATATTCCAAAAAGCCAGGGTCACACATTAAGCTCCATGTGCAAAACCCGAAGGACTAGAATTTTGACTGATGTTGGGAACTTACATGTATTTGTTTAGAATAGAGGTTCGTACCTCAAAAATTAACATTCATCTTATTAGACCTCGAAAGGAAGTCTTTGTTTTGGGGAAGGGGGGTATTTTACAATGTCTTCAGTACCTGGGCTATATAGCACTGAATGATGCATTGATTGATAAATTTGAGAGGATTTGGAAGGTACTGTCCTGGCATTTGCTTTGAGGGCTGAGGAAAGCCACAAAAAACCTCAGACAGGATAGGCGGTGTCTTAGCAGAGACTCAAACTCAGTTTCTCCTGAATATGTCTAGAGCGAAACCACTACACCAGCCTGTGTGATTTGACTGCAGTTAAGTGAAGGAAATGTATGCCAAAAATAATATAGAAATGGAAGAACGATAACTTGAAAATGGAATGAAGTGTATGTGGAGAGGATTTCTGCTCCTTCTGTAGTGTTGTTAGGATGACCAGGTCATGAATGTAGAGGTGCATAGCCAAACTGGCAAATGTGCCCAGTATATGATAAATTTCTTAGTAAGAAGACCAAATGAAATGAACTGGTTAGCACTCTGTAACATCTTTGGAAGGAACTGGGTGTTAATTTCAGTCCAGGAACATACCCTAACTCTTTTTTTTTTTTGTGTGTGTGTGTGAATTTGCTGAGCCCTTTCAAGCAACTGCTGGAAGAGTTGGCTTACCTTAAATGAAGACTACAACTCCTTATACATTCGTCATGGTTCATTATTCCCGAGTCATCCAACCATTTGACACTGCATGACCTGAGAATGGGAAGGTGTACTCAACCCATTGTGTGGCTCAGGTTAGACTTCAATAGCAGGCTTTTGTTGAGACTTTATACATCATTGGATTCTAAGTAGGTTTTCTCTCAAGACCAAATAAATACCAGTTGTTCAGGAACAACATTATGTTAGGGGGGGTGAATATGGTTAGTGTCCGCACAGGTCATGTTCTGCACCCCTGAGTTAGGTGTTTGTGTAGCAGTGTCTAAACATTTTTGTGGTTCTGCAGGGCATGTTGTGCACCGCTGGGTTAGGTACATGTATAGCTATGTCTTAACACATTTGTGGTCCTGCAGGTCAAGTTGTGTACCTCTGGGTTAGATACTTTTGTTGTTGCATCTTAATATGTTAGGACTGTGGTAGTGAAATGGAATTTAATAATATGTAAAAATAATTCTTGAATAATGGTAATATGATGTTCCTTTTTATTTCCATAAGTTGGTAGTACTGTTGCTATACACATGTGGCTCATGATGCATGGTTGCTGAGTTCCTGGTGATGACCAAATTCACTATTAGCACTAGAAATTCACATTGTAAACCCAAGTTTCATGTTCCACTCGTGAGTGCATTGGGCCCACATCTATTGCATAAACAAGACACCAATTCTAAGTTATCACTGAATCTTATGACACAAATATGTCAGCAAGTTTCACTTCTCTGGTGACATGCTTCAGAGTAGACCAGTTTTATGACTTATGGGAAAGGTCTAATATGTCATGGTTAACTGCATTCCTTGACTTTTCAGACAGGTTCACTCCATGCCTTTAATTTTCAGCTACAGAGGGCAGGCTTTAGTGTAGTACAGGGATGGCCAATCATTGGCACTAATTCAGAGATTGGCTGGCACCAGTGATGACAGGGTTATGTTGAGTCATTTGATCATTCAGTAGTTTACCAAGCCATAACTCTTTTTTGTAAGATATGTTATTACCAGGGCCCGGATTTTGATGACCTGAAAATACTTATAAAATGACCGAAAAAATCCAGAAAAATGACCTAAAGTGTGACCCAAAAGTGTAATATGCAGGGCCTGGATTTTGATGACCTGAAAATATTCAAAAAATCCAGAAAAATGACCTAAAGGAGAAAAGAAAGAACACTTTGTTTCCATGTTATTCACATTTCAGAAAACATGAAGAAAAATTCCCCAAAAATGAAAAAATGACCTTAAACCTAAAAATGACAAAAAATTACTTATAAAATTTACATTTCTGTAACCAGCAGCTCATATTCGAGATTTATATATTTAAGAGCATCGCATAGGATACAAGGAAAAAAAGATGACATGTCATCAAAATCCGGGCCCTGGTTATTACTATTGCTTCATATATTCACCTTGAATACCAAGAAGCACGTTTAGCCAGAGCATGATAGCTACAAGAAAGCATATCATACTGCCTTGTTGGTTATTTTGAACCATGCAATACAGCCAAATTGAGGAAGCTGTCACAGATGAAGTTGGTGCTGTTTGCATCACACTCAAAACCACATACAAGCTTAGAATTAAAGGACTGTCTGAATGTGCAACAGTGGGAGTGTCATGGAGCTCACCAGGTGGTGCTGCAGTATTGGAGATAGCTGCACCATTTCTTACTGATAAGTAACATTCCGTGACATTATGGTTGAAAACTGGAATAGCGGGTCCAGAATAGTATCCATTGCTAGGCAACGGCTGGTAAACACCTTTCCATGGCAACCAAAACACACTTCCACGGCAGCATTAACCAGGCCATCTCTAGGCAATCGTCTGTTGAATATGTCACTCAGCAGCAGAAGAACTGTTGGAAGTGATGTTTTCTATGCGATCCACGCTAGGCTACATAGTGAGGATGAGCAGGAAATTTAGTCCGTCATGAATCGTGTGGCAGGAGTCGATGGCTGAAAGATGGAGGTTGGAGTTGGTAAGAGTGTTGAGTTGCGCTGTTAGATGTCGCTACCAAGTAATGACTAGTAGAGATGTAGCAGACTGAGAAGACTTAGTGTTTGCAGTATGGTGCTGGGGCAGGTTTTCTCCGAGTACTTCGGTTTCCCCTGCCAATCTTCATTCCACCAGCTGCTCCACAATCACCCTCACCTGTCATCTGGGGCTGGTACAATAGGCCAGAAGTGGGTGCAGCACAAGGGACTTAGTGCCACCCCACTGGCATTAAAAAAAATAGTGTTTGCAGTAATGATTTATAGAGGGTGTAGATTACGGAAGGTGTTATAGTTATTTGTAGTTACGAGTCATAAGCGTTCAGTAAATCCAGTTGTCAGTCCAAATCTTGTGTCTAGTCACTAACACATGACATTGTGACGTAAATCAGGCATCAGTTGATAAAAAAGCTTGCCATCCTTGAGCTGCTAGATAGTTGATTTGAGGTTAGCATAGCAGTGTGTATTAAGATCACTGACTCTGGGGTTGTGATGAAGTGTAATTTTGTACAAATATACCAACATTTTGGAGGAACCTACTGCTTCCTTCTACACTGAAAGCATGGGATTATGTATTTGCACACATGGCATTCTGAATGGATTTCTTTTGAATCTTTATTAAAATTATGTTCCCAGTACAGTATAAATCATATTATTCTGGAGGAAGTTAAATATTGTGGTGTGTTTTTAATGATTTTACTCACTCCTTCCAGGTGAATAATGCCTCAAAACTGGCCAAGACCGCTTCCTCCCCAGTCCTCACCAAAATCACACTTAACAGTAATCATCCTTATAGCTTCTGTGGGTCTTTACACTAACAGCTGTCAGTGCTGTCCAACCTGTCTGATTATCTTCTCACTGAAAAGGTGAACAAAGTATTTGGTTCTTCTTCTGTCATTGTCTCTGATGGCCTTTCTTCTGGTAAGTTATTACACTTTTCTTCAATACCAAAGCTACTATATAAATATACACGTTACCAGAGCCTGTTGCTTGGGTTTACATGAAGTTCTTGGATGAGGATAAGTGAATATACTTTAGCATCATCAACTGGTCTGGCAGGTTACATATACACTGTGCTTCACTTCGAGGAGGCTTAGAATTAATATTAATAATTCATACAGTAATTTATGGGCTGGATGACCGAGGCATCTGAATTTGAGTTACAGTAGTGGCAATATATTTATTTTTCTTCATGTCACCCAGACTGGCTGTGGGGCCCATGCAGCCCTCTATCCAGTGTGTACTGAGGGCTTGTTCCCCGATGGTAAAGTGGCCAGGGCATGAAGCTGACTACAGCTCCAACAAATGCCAAGGTCAAGAATGCATGGTTCTATACATCCACTCCCCAGTACACCTTCATGGCATAGTGCTTAATTAGTTAGGCACAGGCATAACTTACCTTACCATACAGGAATTTACTGATGAAAATGAAACTTGGCAAGTACATATCTTGGTATGTGTGGAGCTAATAAGGTTACAGAAAATAGTGAAATTGATTTCCCTTTGGAGAGACAGGCTGACACATTGTCCTGTATTTGCAAGTTGCAGAAAATGAGGCACAGTGGATTGCAGCTGTTCTCTTGTAATGTTAATGGTGCAACCCAGGAAGGCCTGTGGTCAATAGTTCAAAGTGCAAAGTGTTGCCATGTTTTTGTCGGTAAATTATTGTGTGATTTATAATTAATGATTTTGGGTCTCATCTGAGTGAGCTGGGTTGTACTTCTTAGGAGGTTGTGTACCTTGGTGATTATTTGGAACTGTCATAGTGTATCCAGTTTTTTATTTTGGAGAAGCCTAATTTTTTGCAAGTGATGAAAAACATCATAGCAGCCCTTATAAAGGTGCAGCTCACATAATCATAGCTGTGTCTATTGAATGGAAGTTTATTTAAAGCACTGATGTGGACCAGAACAGATCTCAAAAACTGTGGACCACTTTGTGCAAGATTAATCTTTAATGAAACAGTGTGATAAGCGGACACTGGAAATGCAGTAGGTCCCCACGTAAAATAGTCGTGCTCTTCTGCACGTGTTTTAACTTCGGTAAATAGGGTGTTACCATTACAGAACATCGAACTCCAGGGAGTGTTTGTTAGCTAGAAGATAAGAACATTTTGCAAATGTTGAGACGGGCTCTGGGACCCTCATGCAATTTCCGTGTAGTACAACTGTAGAAGAATTAAGCTAACCACTTTCCTTCATTCAGTGCAGAGGTTGAAAATATCTGGAGTTTTACCTTCATGTCTTCATGGCATATTGCATACAGCAGTTTACCTTTACCTCGACATTTATAACAGCGACCTAACTATACCAGTGTCATTTTTCATCAGGAGTGGCACACACTTTAGTGCATTTGTAAGTTTGTTGGTGAGGTTGCTGGAGTGTTTCATTGTTTGTAATAACATGGTAAAACATGTGTCCAGGTAGGGCTAGAAAGCACATATCTCATTAATTGGTAACATCTGCTGACATATTGCTAAGGATCATGCAAGATATTATGGGAAAGCTATATAGTGAAATTGAATTGATTATAGGTATCAAAATATCATAACATTTGTAAATTATTAATAATATTAATTGATTAAAACCTAAAATATGCCTTCAAAAATTAAAAACTGAAAAAAGTTTCTTTTTGTACACACAAAGTTGATTGGTGGGAGTGAAGTCTTTACAAAGCTGAGGTGGGTGCTGTTATATAAAGCTTTGAAATCACTGTCTTATTGTGACACTGGGTAAAGCTACTTTCATTACAATTTCTTGCTTATTTCTGCCATTTGTATTCTCTGAAGAAATTTATGAACATGTATATTGACATGATGTCAGGACTTTATTTTATTATTTGTTGGTGAATCACTGATTCCTACTTGGTCATCTGTATTCAGTGAATACAAAGCCCTCAGAATCCCACATAGAGCACTCTGTATGGGTGAGAGTTTCAACCTAAAAAGTCTTTATCTCATATTGTAATTGATTGGAGCATCTGCAGGTTCACATGTCATGTGCGATGTTAATATTGACATGCAGGTAGCAGGTCATAAAATTTGTATAAATTTTTCATTTGTAATACATAGGTAATGTAGGTTTAATTTTATGTTGTCTTATCCTCCCCTGCAAAGCTGAATCCTGATGGTTATACTGATCTTTTTGTCTAGCCACTAACAGAAACGGCAGTGTCTCCAGCTTCGGAGCATGATGATCGCAAATCAAAGCGTGTTCGCACGCAAACTCAGCCTTATCAGAGTCCCCTGCCAGAGTTGACATATATCACCAAACTGAAGACATTCTTGAAGTCACCAGATAAGAAAGTGAAGACACGTAACGATAAACTAATAGTCTTTTACAAGTAAGAGTAATTTACTACATATGTAACTGAAGAGAATATTTTGGGGAGCAGTACCATATAACATACAGTATTTGCCCAAATAGGAGATGATTTTGAATCCAAGACAACCTCCCACATAAAAAGTAATTTCATTTTCACCCTCACTCTAATATTTGTTCCTAGTGAACTGCCATGTCTGGTTCATAGCTCCAGTGGTACTTAAGAAACTCATGGCTCTTGATTTTGAAATATGATTCTCTCATGTACCCCTTTTGGCAGTACTTTGGATAGACTCATCAGAGTGTCTGTCCTTCTCATACCTGCTCTGCTAGTAGCATGATAGGTTGCAGATGTTGGCATACACTACATCTCAAGAACATGAGTCAACTAAAATCTTAAAAACATAGGTTTGTATTTCATACTGAAATTCATTGTGTCCCTTCATTTTCTATTAAGAAAATCAACTTCCAGTTGGGTGAATACAGTATATGTCTGATGGATGTTATTAATTTGCTGTGTGATGGTGGTGGTAGTAGTAATAGCAGTAGCATTAGCAGCAGAGTGGTGATGGTAGTGGTAGAGGAGTGGTGAAATTTGTAATTGAAGGTTTTTATGGAGTTGTTAAAAGAGTAATCATCTGTTGCAAATACGTGGTGTGTTCAAAAAGTATTGAGCCTTCTTTTTTCCCGCATAAACCAATGAAGCGTGGTAGGCTCCCTTCGGTGGAGATGTGAAGGGGACATTCATGCGCAGTCGTGAATTTTTTCCCACCTGCAGAAAGCGTCAGTCGCTGGCAGTCAGCCTATGAGTGGGGACGGGTAGTGAGCGCTTGTCAGATTCCAGTAAGGTGTAAAATGGCGGAACAACATGAGCAGCGATATTGCATCAAATTTTGCCAAAAGCTTGGCGATACCATTCACAAGATTCAAACAGGCTTTCGGGGACGATGCCATGAGCAACTCATGGATAAAGGAGTGGTACAACCGCTTCAAAGATGGCCGCACATCAGTGGACAGCGAACCTCGTTCAGGCAGACCCTCAGCAAGCTGAAATGAGAATGTCATTGAGCAAGTGCAGACTTTGGGCATGAGGAGAGTGTCCGCAAAATTCGTACCAAAACTGCTAACAATGGAGCAGAAGCAACGCCATCTGGAAATCGCACAGGACATGCTGGACAATGCAAACAGTAACCCCAACTTTCTGAACACTGTTATCACAGGCGATGAGTCGTGGGTTTATGGGTACAACCTGGAAACCAAGATGCAGTCATCACAGTGGAAACATCCAACATCCCAGAGGCCAAAAAAAGCACGGCAGGTCCGCAGCAATGTCAAGGTCATGCTGGCCGTTTTCTTCGACTCCCGTGGGGTTGTGCATCATGAGTATGCACCACAAGGCCAAACCATCACAACGGAATACTAGCAGGAGGTCCTTCGTCATCTTCATGATGCTGTGTGGCGCAAACAACCGGATCTGTGGGCAGCAAAAACTTGGCAGCTCCATCATGATAACGCACCCACCCATCTGTGCATCTGATTCAGACTTTCGTCACCAGACACATCCCTGTGGTTCATCAGGCTCCCTACTCCCCCAACATGGCTCCGTGTGACTTTTGGCTATTTCCCAAGCTGAAAATGCCGCCGAAAGGAACCCGATTTGAGTCAAGAGAAGACATCATGCGGAATGCAATGGCCCAGCTGATCACCATTCCAAACGACATGTTCCAGAAGTGTTTCCAACAGTGGTGGAAGCGCTGGGAGAAGTGTGCATTACCAAGGAGACTACTTTGAAGGGGATTAGGGTTTTGTACCTCCAAATCAATAAATGTATTTCTGCCGACCAAAGGATCGATACTTTTTGAACACACCACGTAGAATATATTCAAAGACAAAACAGCTCCATCCAGTGTGACTATTGAAGTTTTTACTACTATTTACTTGAATATATTCAAGTACTTTTGTGAATCATAAGGAACTTGAAAGATATATAATGGGGATTATCTTCTTTTTTCAAATGTAAATTATTTCCTTAAAAATGTTTGGTTTACTGTACTTGTAAACTTGTGGGGATAATTGGCAGAATAGTTCTGAATGCAAGCCTTAAATAATAAGTCACATTCTGTTTAGTCATTGTACCATTCATGAGGTCTTCCTCCCTAGGAGGGAAGAGTATTTACTCTTCTTCCATAATTTCACGACATTTTTTCTTGAAGTATTGCCATGTATAATATACCTAAGTCTTTATGAAAGAAAATTTCCGCTCCACGTATGCGTAGCATAACATGTATTGTATATTCACTGTGATGTTGGAAGGTATGAGTATGATTTACTACTACAGTCAATAATTTCATGGACTATGGTTTAGTCACACCATATTACAAGAAACTTACATCCATATCCGCCCTCAGAGTAGTTGCCGTTCATCTCCTGTTATGATTTCAGTTGAGAAACCTCCCATCTTTGTCAGCACTATTGATCAGGTCACTGCAAATGCTCATGTGACCGTCATGTTGGTCTTGCATCAGGACACATGGAACACTTTGCAGAGTAACACAAGATATGTTCAGGTTATCAGACAGAATTTTATGGCAAGTACCATGGCTAATCCCTGCTGCTGCTGTGGTTTCATCTGCCATTTGGGAGTGATTGGCACGCACCGATGTTGCAACTTCTTGGATCTTCAGTTCTGACCATTCTTGGCCAACCAGTGTGCTCATCATCTTCCAAACTGTCTCTCCCCTGTGCAAAACGTGTATTCACTTAAACAGCAGAATGGCCCAAGGCTTTTTCGTCGTATGCTTGCTTGATCATCTGAAATGTTTTGCTAGCGGATTTGCCTAATTATTGGCAGAACTTGATGTTTGCCCGTTGCTCAAACTGCAACATTGTCAATTTTCACTACTTGCAGACAACTACCCCTCACAACGACGACTTTCTTTCTTAATACACTGCATGCACACAACTGCTTCTTGCTGGGACTAGAGAAGAATGGACAGCCCCATCTCGTGGCCCCACTTATCTGCTGTAGTGCATAACAGCGCCACTATGTGGCCAATCCATGAAATTATTGACTGTATTATGTATATGTGAGATTTATTGTATGCCTTTAACTGAAGAGGTATTATGACTATGAGTTGTCCATTTACTGCTGATGCTAGTGTAATGTCAACTGCCTCTGTTGGCTACTGGTCAGAGTTTCTGGATACAGATCCAGAGGTCTGTGTTCAATTCCCAGCGCTACTAGATTTTCTGAGAAGTAGTGGGTCTGGAACGGGGTCCACTCAGCCTCATGAAGATAATTGAGGAGCTATTTCAAGGAAATAGCGGCTCCGGCCTAGAAAACCGAAATTAACGGCCATGGTGATTCATTGCGCTCAGCACGCAACACCCTCTATCCGCTAAAGTTGACACTAACTTTGCTGACAAGTGACGGTTGCTTGGTTGGTATAGTTCACTTGCAGACTAAAACCACG